AGAAAAACTTTTCCCCTTAATTCACTGTTTTCAACTCGAAAGTTTTTGTAAAATTCAATTATTTTCAATATATTTTTTTTATGTTTCACATTTTCCTTTAAAAATAGAATTATTTTTGAGAATTTGATGTAATATTCTTCAAAGTATAAAATTTATAGCAATAAAATTTGACGACGATTATAGAATTGTTTCTATAGAATATTTTACTAAAATTCATTTCTAAATTGATTATTATTTTAAATAATTTAGAAAAAGTTCTTTAAGAATTTAATTATTAAAAAAAGAAAAGTGAAGTTCACTTAAAATGCAATTTTAATTATTTATTTTTTAAATAAATTTATTATTATAATTAAATAATTAATTTAAATAATCAATTATATATTTTTAATAGAATTATTTCAAAATCAATTTTACAAAAAGAACATATTTCAATTATTTTTTGCATTTAAAAATTCAACTAATTTAAAAGTAATTTTAGTTGAGATTTTTTGAAAAACTGAATTGTCCATAATTTTGAAATTCAATTGTTTCCAGAAATTTGTAATTGTAATTGTAACTCTTCCAAAATTCAATTTCCAGAATTTTTAATTAAAAATATTCTGTAAATCAATTATTTTGTAATAATTTTCAGAAGGTTTTTTGAGAATTCAATTTCCAGAATTTTTAATTAAAAATATTCTCTAAATTAATTATTTTGTAATAATTTTCAGAAGGTTTTTTGAGAATTCAATTTCCAGAATTTTTAATTAAAAATATTCTCTAAATTAATTATTTTGTAATAATTTTCAAAAAGTTTTTTCAGAATTCAATTTCCAGAATTTTTAATTAAAAATCTTCTTTAAATCAATTATTTTGTAATAATTTTTAGAAAGTTTTTTGACAATTCAATTTCCAGAATTTTTAATTAAAAAATTTTCTCTAAATAAATTATTTTTCTAATAATTTTGAGAAAGTTATTTCAGACTTCAATATTGTTGAAATAAAAAAAATTTAATTTTTGTTAAAAATTTCAACTGTAACTCTTCAACGTTTTTTAAAAAGTTTTTAAAGTAAACAAAATAAAGTCAAGTGCAGTTTAAATGGTATTTTTTGCAATATGTGGAAGAAAAGTCAAAATAGTCGTATTTTCCGAAAAATAAGTCGAAAAAAGTCGCCTCTTTCGAAAATAGACGAAAAAATAGAAAAAAATTGTAAATAAATTGAAAAAACTCATATTATCCAAGACCTAAATATTAAAAAAATTATTTTATTTCAAAATTAGTGTAAATTTAAAAAATAAAAACAAATAAATTTTCCCAAATTAATTAAAAAGGCTTTTTGAATTTCTCGATTAAAAAATCCTATATTTTCACCACAATCACTTCTGAAAATTTTTATTAATTCAAGTAGTAATTTGATTTTTATTGAATGGAAAAGAAATCGAAATTATTCTGCCTTGTCGCAAAACAATAATTTATTAATTATTCATATATGCTTATATATGTATACGTCTATACTAGTTGATGTGTGACGTAAATATTGGTTTTACCTTCGAAGGTAAATGTCTCGGTCTATTTTAAGGATATTTTTACATTAATAGGGATGTTATTGTCGCACAAATGTGTAGAAATAGATGAGACAAAGGCTTAACTTTATACAGGGTGTCTATAAGTGATGACGTAATATGCCCACAGGTCAACGGTCAGTAACATTTTCCCTTTTCTATCAAATCTATCATTTCGATTCTGAAAAAATTTCTATTATTTAAATTAAGACACCAACATACAAATTTCTCGGAACTTTTCCCTCTTCTCAAAAAGTATTTTCTGTATTTTCCGTATTTTTTCTATTTTCAAATTAAAATTAAATTTCATTTAATAATTCCCTCCAGTTCTCACATTTCATTATATTTATTAAATAGTATAAAATATAAATAGGATAGAAATCAAAATATTTCGAAATTTAGTTATTTAATAGTGCATTATTTTAACTTCAAATAAAATAAAATACGAAAAAAGTTATTAAATTCCTGAATTAAAATTCTATTTCAAATAACACTGATTTAACCAATTACATTGCCAAGCGAATTGTGTAATAAATAAAGTGCAACAATCTCACAATATATAATAAAAGTAAAATCAACAAAGACAGGAAACAAAAGATCGTTGACTTGCAGGATATTAATAAATTAATATTGAGCAACAATAATGTTCAACAATTTTCAAAAGCTGGCTTTTTGACAAATTATTATACGTCGAGGAAACAAATATTTCCGAATAAATAAATAAACTTTATAATTAGCCCGAATATATTAGATTTTATCAGGTGTAAACGTTGTAAACAACGCACAATGCAATTTACGATATAATTCACGAAAAACATAACCTCAAAATTTACCTCTATCTCAAGACTCTCTAGGCACGTCATCACGAGAAAATCATAAACAATTATCATCCAGAAATTATTCTCCGATGTTTTCATTTGTTTTTTTAATGAGAAAATTTGAAATTACTCACATTTTTTCTGATTTTCTTAAGTGACAAGTGGAACCATCGCTGTCACCATCCTCGGTATCCATTGGAATTTCCACATTACTTTTGTACCGGTATCAAAAAGAATCACTATCTCACAGTAAAATTCATTTTTTATATTATGTATATTTCATATATGAATTATCATAATTGCTTGAATTTAACAGTTTAATTGAGATTTATAAACAATAAAACTTGTATACACTTTCCTATAGGCTCCATTTTCTTTGACTTTCTCTCGACAATAAATTTTTCCCAAATTACTCACTCTGCGCATGCGCTGACATTGAAAACTTTTTTTTTTTTTTGAATGGACCAATCAGAAACAAGCTTCAACCCTCACAGCACCGGGATATTCAGGATATCCCAGAGACGTCCTGGGGATATCGATTTGTTTTCGGAAGTTTGGATATCTCTGGGATATCCTAGGGACGTCCATGGATATCCAGAGGATAATCCAGGGATATCCAAACTTCCGAAAACAAATCGATATCCCCAGGACGTCTCTGGGATATCCTGAATATCCCGGTGCTGTGAGGGAAATATTCATCACTCTTTTTGCTTGTTTCCTCTCTCAATTCACGAAAAACATTTTTATAATTAATCAAAATATGTACTTTTGGTAATTATAGACTTAATTATTTATTGATTTAAATTAAAATATTATAATAAGCGACTTGTGAACTGAAAAACACGTGTAGAAAGATGGCGCCACTTACTGGACTAAAATTATGGCGGGAAAACGGTTTTAATTTGAATTCACTTTTTTGTAAATCGTAATAATAATAATAAATAATCAATTAATAATAATTAAAGTTAAGTTGTAATTTTTTTTGTTCTTTACATAAAACGGAAAAAAGACAAGTGACAGTTTTTTTTATATATTTATATTTAAAAAACAACGATCAATTACAATTCAAATTTTTGTAAAACAAAATCTATTATTTATTTATATTAATAATAACTAAATTCTAGAATATTTAAATAACTATATTGCAAAATTACTTTCCTTTCAATTCACATTTATGTTTCTCTGATTAATCTACTTTAATTTAATAATAAAATTTTTTTAATATAAGAAACATATCAGTAAAATATTAATATATTTCGTTTAATATACTAGATCGACTAGTACTACTGTAATTATTTATAAATAGACACTTTTTTTATCAAAATACTGTTTACGTGAAAATTAAAAAATAAATTATTTTAAAATTTAAATTAGTTTAATTAATTTAATTTTATTAATTGTAAATTAAATTACTTTAATTAATTGTAAATTAATTTCGTTTAATTAGTTGTAAATTAATTTGATTTAATTAATTTTAAATTAATTTCGTTTAATTAATTGTAAATTAATTAATTCAAATTTAATTTTAAGTTCTATTAATTTTAAATTAATTTTCAGCTTTATTAATTTAAATAATAATTTTGTTAAAGTATAATTAATTTTAATTTAATTTACAATTTTTTAGACTAAAATTAAATTAATCTAAAATTAATTTAATTTTAGAATTTATTTTAAAGGCGAAATAAAATATAGAAAAATTTATCCAAAAGTAAATTATGACAAAGGAGAAAAATACTTAAAATTATTGTGTGCCTTTAAAATTTGGACTCATTACAGTGATTATTAATAAAGAAATAAATATATTTGTTATAAATAAAATTCTCTCAATTAAATCTACAATCTGAATAAATGCAGCACTGCTGCAACTAACCGTTCAAAATTGAAATTGAGAATCATAATTTTCTATAAAAATAGAGTATTAACCGAAGACGTTAAATTGTTTTTGTTTTCCCAATTTGAAGACTATCGTAATGTTTGTTTACTGTACAAACGTATAATTTCAATTAATACTTTTTCTTTTTAAACTAATCTAAAATCTATTCATTATATCACGTGCTAGAAAAACACCCAGAAATACTTTACAAAGTGCACTTAGTTTTTTTTTCTCTTTTTAAATAATTATCTCTATATTATTTATGTGGAAAGGCACTTGTAGTGATATGCGCATTGAATTCAAAAATTAATTTCTCCACATACCAAATAAAAAAATTAAATATACTAATATTAATTTGTTACATATATTGGCATATATTTTAATCTTTCACGAACTATAATCAAATGATTATCTATTAATCAGTACTTAAAAAAAATTTTATTCATTACTGTTTGATTTTTTTTCGTTATTAAAATAAATTAAAAATAATTCATTACTGTGCAGTTAAAAATTTGTATTTATTTATTAATAAGAGGATATTAATAAATAAATAAATGTTTTTAACTTAATAAATATATCTTATGAATTAATAAATAATTAATAAATTGTTATTAATATTATGATTAATTTGTATAATATTAATACTTTTTTAATTTTGATTCATAAAGATAATTAAAAACTTTTTAGTTTTTAACCTCCGAGTGCCAATGAAATTCTCATAAAAATTGGTACTTTAAGGTTTAGAGAATAACTATTTAATGAACCTTTAAAAAAATAAAAAATTAAAAAAATTTTAAAGTACAGAAAAGGAATATAAATTCAAAAAAATAGAAAAAAGAACTAATTTGATTGTTTTGTTAAAAGCGATTGTTACAATACAAAGGACACTATTTAATAATACTTGACTTTTTTGTACTTTCGGTTTATCACTGTTTGCTTTGTAGTTGAGAAAAATATTCGCTTTTTGAAAGAAATTTGTAACTTAATTTTTTCATTTTTAACAAAAAAAATTCGATTCAGAAGAAATTCCTTTTTTTTGAGAATTTTAACTTTTTGATTAAATTTGTACTTCTGGATTAATTTGCGATTTTTTGACTCCTCTTTCGATAGAAGTAAATCACAAAAGTTTTACCGACCTTCGTTTATTTTTCTTTCTTCTCCTCAACGGGAAGAATTTCTTCGTCTGTTTTTAGATTTTCAATTCTCGCTGTAGTTTCATCTTCTTGACTGACTTTCGTTTCGGGATTTGTTTCCTTCTTCTCCTCGTCGTCAGTGTCATCGAGTAAATGATCCCAATCATAGGGATCTCCGCCCTCTTGAACCCTTTTCAATTCACGTTTCAACATTTCGAGACATTCTCGTCTCTCCTTCCATCTTTCGGCCATTGTTTTCTCATCGAGTTTCTCAACTTCAGGATTTCCTTCAGGATTCCCTTCCGGATTCGCCTCTTGATTTTCCATCAATTTTTCCGCATAACCCTCGGTGCCCATTAATTTTTCCTTTTCCTCGCATTCCGTTACGTACTTCTCGTAACTCTCCACCTTGAAAAGAAAATTAATCAACATTTTTTTCCGAATTCATAAAAAAAATTAGAAACAATTTCTAAACATTAATTTGTACGATTTAAATTGAAACTTGAAAATCGAAATAAAAATTACTTTGTCTTGGAGCATTTGCTGGACATTATTTTGTTTTTTCAGGTGTTTGGGAAGCCAAAAGCAAGCCTGAAGGAGCCTCAAAAAAATCCAAGCTACACCAGCGAGTGCCAAATATGTGCAGGCGGTAAACACCATATTTAGCAGATCCACTGAAACCTGTTGATATTGCGTCATTTTTTTTTCTTTTCTTTCAATTGCTCGAGTCCCTGAAAAGTCAAACATTATTCATTAATACCAAAAAATGAAAGATTATCTAATGAAAATTAGAAAAATTAATTTTAGAAAAATAAAGCAATAAGTAAACTTGTCGAATAAATAAAACAAAGAAATGTAATTTAAATAAACAATTTTTCAAATTAAAAATCGTTTAAATAAATGAAATAAATACAAATTTAAAAATAAAGTTGAAAGTAAATTGTTGGTGAAAAAAATGAAAACGAAAATTAAAAACAAATAAATAACAACAATTTAAAAAATAGTAAACTAAAATTAAATTTGTGAAAAAAAATTAAATCTTATTGTGTTTTGTATAAGTATTGAAAATACAAAATAGAAATTAATTAAAAATTTAAATAAAAACAAAGATAAAAATACATTTGAATACAACAGGAAAATAAAAATAACTATACTGACATGGTTTATTAAAATAATTATACTCTTAAAAATGGCAGTGAGTGTATATGCATGTGATATGTCCCTATAACACATTTATTGATCGTGTAATAAAAATGGACGAAATAAACAATGAATAAGTAAAACTTGATTTTACTCACCATATTAATTTTTAAAATGGTGCTAAAGTTTTATTATCACATCGGATGTTAAGTTACTCCAAAAATTATGTAAAAAAAAGTATTTATTTAATTTTAATATCCCAATGAATTTATTAACAAATTCTTAAAAAAAACTTTTTCTCTATCTCTTTATAATATTTATAATTTTTTTATAATTTACAATTTATAATTAAAAATTATCTTCTAAATTAATTTAGATTAGAATATTTCGCTTCCTCATGGAGAAAGGATTGTATTTATTTAGATTTAAATAATTTTTTTTTAATTAAATGACAATGATCGAAAATTTAAATTGACAATTTCGAAAAAATAAATAATGAAATAATCGAGTAAAAAGCACAATAGTAAAAATAGAAAAATTTTCTTTTATAAAAAAGTGACATTCAAGAAAACGGTTTTTCATTTACAAAAAATATAAAAGAACTTCATGATGGAAAAAATAGATTTCTACACAATAATAGAAAACATGTGTGAAGGAAAATTGTCAATTATTGAATTTTTTTCCACCATAAAGCCTTGAAATGAGTTCGACCTTCAATAGAAAATTCCTAAATTTCATCATAAAGAAAAAAACTACATTAAAAAAAATATCCCCTTTGTTTAGCAATTTAAATTCAAAATTATTAACGCAAAAATAATTTTTCTTTTAAAATGAAAATAAAAGCGCTGAACTGAAGTTGTGAACTCGTATAAAGAAGAAATCGATCAGGGAAAATACTTCCGCTTATGTACAACCGGCTTGAAAGTAAGAAACCGTATTAATTACAAAAAAAAAACCACAAATCCCACTTTTGTAAAATAAGACAATAAATTACATTACCTTTAAAATAATCAAGAACGATGATTCATTTTTTTTCAAAAAAAATTGAATTCTTATATATATTGGAAAAAAAATAAGATCTATGAAACACGTCCGACAGTTAAAAAGAGACTAGACGACGTGTTAGGGTGAGAATTCATGTCTACCACTGACCCGTATCGAAATAATCGATATATGGATAAGTTGTACACAATACCATACAAATACCACGGTGAATCCATTATACATTTGTAATAATCATCTTCCAACCCTTATTTACACCTGAAAAAAAGAAAGAACAAGTAATAATTTCCTCGATAAATTAGAATAATGACTCACTTGTTACTTCGATCATTTTTTTGTTGTCGTTTTCTTTCTTATTGCCTGTAAGAAAAAAATTATTCCATTAATTCAAAAAATGACAAATTGAAGATAATAAAAAATATTCGAATTTCTTTTTACTTACAAAAAAGGAAAGAGATTAATAAAATTTATTACCAAATCGAATAGCTAATAAATTTAATGATATACGTCGTGGCATAATTTACGAATGTTTCAATCGATAGGCTCAATTTTCGGATCATCACGAAACTGTTGGTTCCTTTTTTTCTGAAGAAAATTTACCAAAATACATACGAAAGAGAATTGTTTAATAAATTCCCTTAAAACTGAAACTAAACTTTTTTGTTACTGTTTACTCTTTTTTTTTAAATATTAATATTAATTAATTGCTGAATATAATATTAATCAATTGATTACTATAATATTAATTAATTAATATTAATATACTTAGGTATATTAGATAATGTATCAAAATTGTTGAATAATTTAAATTTTAAATAACATACAAAAATATAATAAATTGTTATTAAAAAAGATTTCTTTTCTAATATTTTTTACTGTCGTTTTTTTGTCGTTCGCACAGACAATTAATTAATTTGATTTAATCAATTAATTAAATTAATAATATTTAATTTCGTTTAGATTTCCAACTTGACATTCGAGGTACGATGATTGAATAGAAAAAGCAGAACTAGAGTTAAATAATTTTTTTATTTTACTTTAAAATCACCCAAGTACTTAGGCATCGAAAATAAATTAATTCACTGTTTTCTACGGAGAGAAATGAGATTCAAAAATGAGAAGATTATATTTTTATCAATAATAGTAGAATTGCGCAATACAGTCCACGAATTAATTCGGCGATTAAACATTTAATTTTAATTATTCCGCAGGGCTACAATATTTGATATCATTATATCACTTCGAGGGAATTTCTTTTCATCCCTTTTGAAAATCTTCCCTCATTAGTCATTTTTATTCAAGAAAAAAGAAAAAGAAAAAATATAATTTAAAAATATGGTAAATATTTACAAGAAGCATTCGTTTTAACGTTACTAAATCAAGTAACTATGGAAGTTCCTTTTTTTCATAATTTAATAATTATGTATACTTAAAAATAATAAAAATATGTTTGCAAAAATAAAGAAAAATAAATTATTTACACCTTTCTTGTGATTTGATTAAATTCTTCTTTTCATTTAAAAAAAAAGTGTTTAGCAGCCCTGCACTTAATAACTATATTTTTCCAGCTGTTTTTTTTTCTTCTTTTCTAAGAGTAGAATTTTTTTCCCTCTTTCTCCTAAATTATTTGTAAATAAGTTAATACTGAGGTTCCAAAGTTATTTTCTTTTTAATTATTAATGGAATCTGTATTTAAAATCTAAAAATCATTTTTCCCTGCATTATCTCCTTGTGATTAAACGTGGAAGTTATTTAATCGTTTAAATAAACAAAATTTCTATTTTTGGAGCGACCATTTTTATTTCTAAATTTCTTTTTTCAAAATTCAGAAAATTGAAAAATTGGTTTTTACGGAATTCTTTAGCATTTTTTTAAAAAACAAATCATGCAGATTATTTCTATTGTTTCGAGAGTGTCGACTATTTTTGTTTTTAGATTTCTTTTCTTTCTTTTGGTTAAAAATTCATGCCGAGAAGGGTATTTGATTTTTGACGATCAGACTAATTTTACAACATTTATTTGTCCTCTCTGTGACATATATTAAATTTTTCCATCGAGCTTTGCATATCTTTGAAATATGATTAATGATTAAATAAATTTTCATAAATCGATACATAGTGTAATTAAAATCACTTTTGAAATTTGTAATTGATAATTGATAATTGACAATAATAAATAATAGAAATAACTAAAAAATCAATAAAATAATTAAAAAGGCTTCAGGAAACCATCTTTCAAAAAATTGTTTCGAAAAATCATTTTTGTTGATAAACAAGCTCGAGAAAGAAATTTTTTTTTTTTGGATTTGAGAAAAAAAGGGATACAATTTTGAAACGTTTGGAATGCTTACGTTGTGGTTTTCACGTAGAAGAGAAGATAGGGAGTGGCTGAATTTCGTGGATTGTGTGCGAGTTTATCCTGGAGTTCTTGCACTTGAATAACGCGCACTGTTTCATCGTCACATTCCAACCACATACCAGGTCCCAGGGGTTTACCCTGTCGAATACCACAACATTCTGCACTACGACAACCGGCCTTGATCGATGTCTCCTTACTTTCATTAATGTTCGGTTTACTTCTACTCAAAAATTTGGAAATTAGAGATTGATTCTTTGTATTGCTCGTACTATGTTGAGATTGATTTGGCCGTTTTATATCACGATTACAGCGACAATATTCCATTGATTCATCGGGTAGCCTTGAATATGCGACATAATGACCTGCAGTCATTGTTGCACCCTGATGCATTATCACTGAATAAAGTTGATATAAATGACGCGATTCACCGCGAATTGTGCTACCACTTCTTTGTGATTGTTCGCTATAGCACTCCTCGCAAAAACATTCCAAATCCAATGGCGTTGGCATGTAATTGTTTATCTTCTCCATTGATCTGCATTAAGAATTATTTAATTAAATAATAAATTTTTTTAGAAGAAGAAAGAAAATGAGAATAGAAAACAAGTAAATTAAAGAAATTTAGAAAAAGAAATTTGTAAATAATTGAATTCCTGTAAATAATTGAATTGTCTCGAAGAATTATATTAAATTTATTGAAAATAATAAAATTCTTTGGAGGAATTGAATTGATATATTTGTCACAATAATTGAATTTTTTATTAAAAATTTTGAAAATAATTGAACTAAAAAAAAATAATTCTGCAGAATTGTTAGTTAAAAGTATGAAAAATTAAAATTTTCATACATTTTAATTTGAAACCTTTTCAAAATTCAATTAATTCTAATAATCCACGCTAAAATACTTTCAATATTCTATTATTATCTAAAATTTAAACTAAAATTAATTTTTAAATCAATTTTTATTGGAAAATTAATTTTCGAATAAATTCTCCAAGAATTCAATTTTTTAAATACAAAAATAAATAATTTATTAAATAATTAAATGCTTCTTAAAACTGAATTCTTGTGAAGAATTTTATTAACAAATTTTTAAATAATTGAATTCTTTTGACGAATTTTAATAAAATTTTTAAATAACTATTTCATAAAATAATAATATATATTGGTTATTTTTCGAAGAATTCGATTAAAATTGTATTAAAAATAATTGAAATTCTGCTATATGAGTTTTATTATTTAGAAAAATAATTGAATTATTACGAAGAAATTTATAAAAAAAAATTGTAAATAATTGAATTCCTGTGAAAATAATTGAAATTTTGCCTAGAATTTTATTAACATTTTTGAAAATAGTTGAATTTCGGAGAATTTTATTATTTATAAAAATAATTGAAATTTTGACGAGAATTTTATTAATTTTATCAACTAAATAAATTCCTGTGAAGAATTTTATTACTTTTGAAAATAATTAAATTATTGCGAAGAAATTTATGAAAAATTTGAATAAAATTGAACTCCTGTGAAATTTTTATTATTTACGTAAAAAATTAAATGTTTTCGTAGGATTTTATTAAAATAGTTGATATTGAAAATTATTGAATTGAGGAAAACTAATTGAAACTTTGCCAAAAATTTTATTAAAATTTTTAAAAATAATTGAATTTCGGAGAAGAGATTTATTACCTACTTTTAAAAATAATTCAATTATTGCGAAGAAATTTATTAAAAATTTTGTAAACAATTGAATTTCTGTGAAATTTTTATTATTTATGAAAAAAATTAAATGTTTTTGTAGAATTTTATTAAAGTTTTTGAAAATAATTGAATTTCGGAGAAGAATTTTATTATTTATAAAGATAATTGAAATTTTAAAGAGGAATTTAAAAACTTTTTGAATATAGTTGAATTTCTGCACAGAATTTTTTATTACTTTTTAAAATAATTGAATTTTGGCAATTATTTGAAAATTCTTTCAAAATTCAATTTTTCTAGTGTTTTTAACTAAAATTCATCCATTATTTTTGATAATTAATTGAATACATATCAAAAAAGTTTAACTAATTTCTGAAAAATTTGAATTACTAATATTTTTCAAAAATCTAAGTTCTTAGTATCGATTAATTTATTAATTACCCAGCTGCAGTGGAAAATCTCTTCAGTTGCAATATTAAAAGTCGAGGTAGGGAAGGAAAGCAAACCGCTCGTCGAGCTTCATTAAGTCGAAGACAATGTTCACACCAATATTTATCTCTCTCGCAAAGTAATTCACTGGTTACCACCGCTCTTCTATAAACCTCACTGCTACTCATTTTATCCTTTTTCTTATCGTCGTCTAAAAAAATATTTTCCTTTATTTCATAAATCAGTCAGAAAAAAATAAATAGCAGACCTCGGACCAATTTTAAGACACAAAATTAGTCTTTGTAGTTGATTCAAAAAAGTATTAAAAAAGTCAATAAAGTTTTTAAGTTATTAAGTTACTTTTTCTCTACTTTAGTTTAAATTTACTACTTTCTCTGATTTATTGCAATTTTATTGTCAAAATTTATAAAAATGTAAAATAAGTCAAACTTAATATCGCCTTTTTTTTGAAAATAATCGAAAAAAACATATTGTCCAAGGCCTGATATATTAGTAAAAACTAAAAAAAAATATTCATTTTGTTATTATTAAAAAAAATCAAAGAGATTGAAAAAAATTCTCACCGTCATTTGATTGATCGATATCAATTGGTACACAAATATCGCAGAAAATTTCCTTTCTCTCAGTGACTTGCTCGCACTCGAGGCACGTTGTTCGCAATAAACTCACACCCTCAAAATCCTCTGAAATGAAACACTTTCTGCTCTCATGTCTATGTTGCTGTGAATTGACATCGCCATTACTTTCCGTAAATTCAGAATAACCATTCTCAGCTGGTTTCGATGACGACTGAATGCCATTTAAATTTTGTACTACACCAATTGTACTGCCTTTTTGTAATACCTTCTTCCATTTCGTGCGTCGTTTACTCGATGTTATATTACCATCTGATTGAGAATCAATCGCGCGCTCTACTGAAAAATCAGAAATTCCACCATTTGTCTGACCAAATTGACTTTCCCGATATCTAACCAACAATTGAAATGTCTCCCTTATATTGTCCAGCAAACACACCAAAAGTTCGTGAGCGTCCTGCTGTTGATTGCCCTCAAAAATATTATTCACTTCCCTGTAAGAGAAATATTAATTTTTTTTTTTTACTTTTTTCTTTTTCTTCAATTTTTAATTTATCAGGGTTGCCACAAAAATTTAATTTTGTTTTTCCCCGACTTTTCCCTGATTTTCAGAAAAAAATTTTGACTTTCCCTGAAAATATTTTGATATTTGAAGTGAAGAATATTTTGATTCACTCCAAAAATTATTAGATACTCAAAAAAAGGATCTATTACATTTATTTACCAATTTCTTTAATGGTAAAAAATGAAAAAAATGTATTATTTGTGAAAAGAATTGAATTCTTGCGACAAATTTTATTCAAGTTTTTTCAAATAATTGAATTCCCATTTAAAAAATGTAATATTTGTGAAAATAATTGAATTCTTGCGAATTCTTGTGAATTCAAATTTTTTTAAATAATTGAATTCTTGCGAATTCTTGTGAATTCAAATTTTTTTAAATAATTGAATTCCCATTAAAAAAAAGTAATATTTGTGAAAATAATTGAATTCTTAAATTGTATTGAAAATAATTGAATAATTGAATTTCTCAGAATTATTTTTTTCAATTCTCTAAATATATTTGAATTCTTTCGAAAAACTTTATTAAAAAAAATTAAAATTGAATTTTTTTTGGAAAATTTTATTTAAATAGAAATTATTGTCAGAAATAGAAAAAATTGAAGGTTTTTTTATTAGAATTTTTGTCAATTTCATAGTTTATGAGGCAAACAAAAGAGACTCCAAAATTCAGAATTTTCTGATAAATTCTAAAAATTTAATTTCTTTTCCTTTTTTTTAAATAAAAATCCCTGACTTTTTCCCTGGTTGAACTTTTTTTTTTTTTTTTTTTTTTTTTTGAACTTTTTCCCTGACCAATTTTAATTTCCCTGACTTTTACCTGAATTCCCTGACCTGTGGTAACCCTGATAATTTATGTACTTCTTTTAATTTTTGAAATATGTAAAATAATTGAAATAATTTCAATCCTTTTTTTCCCTTTAATTTACAAAAACAAACCTCAATGCTTGCAGGAAAGCACCGGGTTGAAAAGGTTCACTATTTTCCTTCACTTCCGATTCTCTTAGGGCAATAAAGAGTTCGTGTAATTTTTCCGTGGCTACTTGAATTCTTGGCTTATTGTATTCTGTAGGGCCTGCCAGCGCCAATAAATCTTTGCTACTCATACTGCGATTTCCACTCGCTGATAAGGAAACACCAGTTCGTCCTAAAGACGATGACTTCATCTGAAAATTGAAAAATTTCATAAATTGAAAAAAAGAAATTTTTTTTTTTATTTAAAACTATTTACCTTAGTTTGCAGGTGTTTGTCATTGAGACTCGATAAATCGATCGCAAGATGATGCAAATTATGCAAAAATGATGGAGTAAAACGCAAAGTATAGAGAACGCTATTTAAAAAACAGGTATTCCCAAGATTGCAAAGAGTTGCTATCCTCAAACCATCGGAACCGGGACCCATGATATCGTAATTTGTTGTTTGATGACTATTCGATTGATTTCTGCAGCCATTCAACATTTTACTCGTACCTTTTCAAATAATTTCAATTTCAATTAGTTATTTATTCTTTTGAAGAATATTTTCTTTTAAAGAAATTAAATCAAATCGAATTAAATCAAATTAAATTAAATTAAATTCTTTTAAAGAATATTTAAAGAGTATTTAAAGAATAGAAAAAATAGAAACAAAGAAATTATATTTTACCGAAGAAATTGGATTGACGATCCAAGACGCCCCCTCCGACAGTGGGCTCAAAATTATTAGTTTTTCCTACAGAACGACTTCGTCCTGAAAGGGATAAGCAAAACTTTTTCCTCGGTGGTGCCGATCGTTCATCTGTGTCGTCTTCAGCTTCTAATACTGTCATTTTCTGATAACCTAAAATAGAGCATGAATTTTTCTATATATTTCGAGCTCGAGCACGACATCATTGATTTCGAGCGCGAAATTTCTCAAAAAAGATAAAAATAAGAACTGGAAATATTTATAGTAAAATAAACGATCGATATTGAAGTAAAAAAATTAATTTAAAGAATAGACAAATTTATGCAAATATCGAATAAGTTATGTTTTAAACAAAACAATTATAATCAAAATACTTACGTCTTATAGGGTGAAGAAGTCATGGAATAAAAATAATTTGGGATTACTATGAATGCAACTTATCCGAAAAAAAGAGTTGAATGAAATGTTGAAACTGAATTTACTAAACACAGGCTACATTTTCATCCTGTGGACCGTAGAATAGATTTTTAATAATTATTAATCTTCTTTCCCGTTTTTCATGCATCAATGTGCATCGAGTAATAATTTTCTGGTGCATTAAATATATAACAAGATTCACTTAGGTCAACACATATTATAGTGATTATTCCAAACAATAGGTGCGCTGTAGGTCAATGCACACAAATTGTCCAAGTTCCACTCCGTTTTGATTGGTAGTCGCGAGCATCAATAATTTTAAACGTTTTTAAACAATTTTAAAAGTGTATAAACAATATAAATCAAGTATTTCTCTCTCGTATGACTTTTGTTTATTAAAAACAGAATAAAAACATTTTTATTAACTAATTTTCAATTATTTTCTACAACAGTACAACTTTTCTCCTGTAAAAAGTGTACACTATCAGGTTGGTATTATTGTTTATCACCAAATTCCCCCAGAATAGTTCCATAGGGTTTTTTCCGAATCTAACTTCACAGCTGTTATTATTTTCGTTCGTCGTTCAGTCAGTGTTAAAAAAATTGTGTCGGCAAAGAACTTAAAACTTAAAAGCTTTAAAAACTTTAAATGTTAATTTAAATTCAAATGTAAAATGACTTCTGTAGATTCGGGAGTGGAAACTGGAAATGATTCCAATGACAGTTTAGTCGCTCAACATGAAAATATCCCCGCGGGACAGGCGAGCGTCAGTACAACCTTTGTGTCAACAGCAGGAAATAAAATGGAAGGCGAAGAAAATCAAAGTGATTCCTTTCCATTGAATATAGAAACATACGCTTCATTTCGTCCAAATTTGAAAAATTATTTCTCCTCGAAAAATAACATTTCACTTACTAATCTACCGGGAACATCGGGTCCTTTGACCTTTCATCCTTCGGAAACTGTTTTTATGTCAACAACGGAAAATAAAATGGAAGACAAAAAAAATCAAAGTGATTCGTTTCCATTGAATTTAGAATTTGAATTTCCACATTTGAAACATCATATTACAACGACAAATAATATTTCACTTACTAATAGTAGACCAGGAACTTCGAGTCCTTTAGCTATTCAAAGTTCTGAATCAGTCATAATGTCAACAGGAGGAAATAAAATTCATGACGAAGAAAAACAAAGTGATCTGATTTCAACAAATCATGGAGCAATTACATCAATTCATCATTTTAAATATATTGCATCGACGAATAATATTTCACTTAGTAACAGGCCAGGAACATCGAGTTCTTTGGCTATTCAGACTTCACAAGCACTCCAGGTAAAGTTTCTTATCTTTTTAAATTTAAGAAATTTTAAATTGTCCGATATTTTTATTTATTGTTCTTATTTATTTTATTTCAATACTTTTCTTTTTATGGTCATTTCACATTTCTCAGTCAAGGATTTAATTCACTTTCTCAAGCGTATTTTAATTTAGAATGTGACGAAGCACATTTGACCTTAATATATTTAATTTTTGACAATTGATCCTGACCTAGTTTAACATTTCTTTTTTTATTTGAAATCAACTCGATTTTTATATTTTGCTTCTTGTAGAATGAAACTCGGGTTTTTAATTTTTCTATACGATAATTTTTTTCACTATTTGAAATTAAATAACTAGGACCTTTTTTAATTATAAAAATATTGTTTTATTTTTTACAGCCTTTCGCTGCATCTAAAATGTTAATTATTCCCACTCCTAAGTGCCCGGATCAAATTTTATCGACTGTAGAATTCATAAAAACAAGTAAGTAACTTTAATTCAAAACAAATTTAATAAATTTTAAAATTTTTAAAACCAATCATCACTTTTTCTTTTTTAGTACGTAGAAGTGGACTTCCATTTTCCATCGAGAGTAACTCACGTCAAGGTATTTTTTTTACAGTTTTTTACACTTTCATTTTCAATTTTAAAATTAAAATATATAAAAAAAGAATTGTTGCAAAGAATTTTATCAAAAAATTTGATAATAATAGAATTCCTTCGAAGAATTTTATTATTTTGGAAAATAATAGAATCCCTTCGAAGAATTTTATTATTTAGGAAAATAATTGAATTCTCGTGAAGAATTTTATTCAAATTTTTGAAAATTCCCATTAAATTCTTTTTGAAGAATTTCTTTGAGTTTTTTTTTTTACTAATTTTAATTAAAAACTTTAAAAATAATTGAATTTTACGAACAATTTCTATCAAGTTTTTAAAATAATCGTGTTTGTTAATTATTGAATTTTATTAAAATTTTAGAAAATAATTGAATTTTTTAGAAGGATATCATTTGCTAGTTAATAAATAAATCAGTTAATTTTTTTCTAACATTTAAAAATTAATTTAAAGCAAGCTGCTTTAAGCCGAAAATGCGACTTTTTCGAGCTCGGCCACATTGCATAAAATGGAAAGAATTTCAAGGAACGCTAAATGAGCGTAAAATGCGAATGGCCACTGCAACAAATAACTTGGAAGTGGTGCGTCGACTATTAGAAAGTGGAATTTCTCCAAACAATATTGACAGTGAACTGAGAACTCCTCTGCATTTAGCATCGTGCAGGTAAATAAAAATTAGAAATTGAATATTAATTTTACTATTTCTAAACAAAAATTTTTTTCCAGAGGTTATACTGAAATGGTTCGACTACTTTTGGAGCACGGAGCAGATCCAAATCAACGGGATTGCATCGGTAATACGCCACTGCATTTAGCGGCAGTCACAAGTAAAATATCAGTTGTGACTCTACTTTTAAAAGCAGGAACCGATGTTCTCTCATCCGATAGACATGGACATAATCCTCTGCAAATCGCTCAAACGAAACTCAAAATACTACAAAGTTGTAAAGGAGCAGACATGATTAGAATAAAGGAGGAAGTACACAATATTGTCGATATGCTGCTCGCTTATCTCGAGAAGCAAAAAAATGCACAAGAACAAGTTGAAAGTCTCAGTAATTTTTGTTCACGTCTCTCATTATCAAATACTTCAAATCAAATTCAAGACGACGTACGAGATTTATTGGCCAACTTAAATTCTCTAAGTTTAACAAGTTAATTGCCTCAATTACTTATACTGGGCATCATTTTCTTAAGAGCTTTCTTTTTTATCCAATTTCATTGGACCTAACATTTTACATGAAAAAAAAACGTTTTCTAAAATTATAGAAAAAAAAGGATATTTTGGAAATAATTCCAAAAAAAAAATTATATTTGGTATAAAAATACTCGTAAGCTCGATGAACGCGTGTTTGTTAAAAAAGAAACGAATGTATGTGTTTATAAAAAAAAAGTTCGTACTATAAACAACGCACTTTGTTTAGATTCACTGAATCAACGAACTAATCTTTGTTTTTTTTTGACTGAGGTTTGGTGCCGAGAACAATTTATTGTCTTGTTTTCCGAGATTTATACTGTTAAACAACGTATTATTAATTCTTATTCTTAAACAAAGATAAAAGAAAGTTTAATTTCTAGAAATTTACATTTTTAACAATTTATACTATTTCAGTTTTTGCTTTTTTTTATTCTAAATATTACAAATTAATATGCATAAAATATATTTTGCATATAGTCTCGGATTGTAAATAATTGATGTAACTTTTACATCTTCTGTAAATAGTGACAAATGTTCATTTATAGAATTTACAAGAGATGTAATAATTCATAATTAAATTTAAAAAACAGAAAAACTTATACACCGAAGGCAGTAGCCTTATTTCATAATTGGCAAATTGTTATTTCAATTTCAAGTTTATATATATATATATATTGCATATATATTGATATAATACTAATAATATTATATATAATATAATACTAAAACAATCATACGAAACATAGGTTATAACAAAATGATTGTACTGAAAAAAAACAAATAAAACGAAAAACAATCTTAATAAAAATAAATTGTACCATTAAATTTTTTCCCAAAAGAAACATTTCGATTGAAAAAAAAGTATTTTCACCAATAATAAAAAATTGTATAATCTGTAAAGATATTTTTTTATTTTATTTCGTTTTTTTTGTAATGTTTTTAATGCAACACGAGCGTAAAATTCGAAAATTTTAAATCACAACTTTTTCTATAAAATGAGAACAACTTTCCGAGGGTTTAATATCTTTTTTTAAAAAAGTATATTAATATTATCGGAAAGTGGAATTTAGGCACGTAAAAAATTTATGGAAGATCAAAGTATTTCCCAATGAAGTTTTTTTTTCAATATTCATTTTTTTTTAAAAAATAGAATAAAACGGAAAATATTTTTTCAAAAATTACAGATCGATGATTATTAATAATAATAACAATAATAATATTAATAATAATACTGAATCCGTAAAGACATTTCTTTTTCTCTATTGAAATATTATTATTTACAATATTCTCATATGAATCATTTCAATTGTTCTGCTGTTAGAATAATTCTATTCTCTATTTGGAGAAGAATTTCTATACATTATAAGAAACATTGTGTTTATGAAAAAAAGTGTTAATTTCATATACTGGGGAAGAAAAAAAATTGTTTTCCCCAGAATAATTTTTTTACAACAACAATTCTTTGTATAACAGAAATTTTCTTCTTTTTTGATTATTTTCTTCTATATTATTTAGAAATTTTAAATTAAAATTCAATAATAAATTTGATTGCCATGACAATAAAGATATGTAGCGCTTTATTTATGTGAATAAAAATAATCTTGATCCCTTTTTTAATATTTGCAGCAAAATGAAAACTAAAGAACTGTCTCTCTCTCTATAAAAATGTGTAATTAATAATTAATTATATAGAAAAGAAAATAGAATTGAGTTTGATATTTACATTTTTGGTTATAAATGCGTCGCATTATTGTTTTTTCCATAAATGATGTTAAAACAATAATAATTTGACTTAAACTGCAAATTTTTCAAAAATAACATGTAAACTTTAATAAAAATAAAATAATTTTAATTGCAATAAAAACTAACATTGTTATACAATGCTAATTTACAATATAATAATAACGATTCAAATATCGTTTAAAAATGTTCAAAAATATTTCAAAATATTTGAAATTTCACTAAAATTTTATTAAATTATTATAATTAAAATTAAAAGAAATATTTTCGACTATTGTAAAAAAATTGCAGCGAAATTGTATAAAATTTGTTAATTTCTTTTTTTAACTTTCATTACTTTTTCCATTAATTTAATTTTCTTTTTTAATATTTTATTTTTTTTAACTTTTCTACTGCTAATTTTTTTCCGTTTTGCTTTTTAAACGATGCAAACTTGAGCTTCATAAGTTTAAGTCTTTTTCTACAATTGATTCTATCGAATTTTTTTTCATATCGATTAAATCGAGAATTCTATTTAGTTTAGGAAATAGAATCATTTTCTTTTTCAAATGAAAAAGTTTCCTTTAAAAAAAAACAGGAAAACTTTGTTATTCAAAAAGTTTGTCAAGGACACATGACCGTTGCTAAGGAGGGAAATATTTCAGCTTGAATCGTTCCATAATCAACATTTTCGCCATCCACTGTCAAGTAGCCGTTTACACTTTCAGCTGGTTCTATTCGGAAGGCTTTTACGGGAATCATTTCGACTCCAGGAACAGATAAATGACTGCCAGTACTCATACCCAATAGAAACTGTAAAATATTCTTCATTCATTTTCAAAAAATGTATGTTCATTAAAAAAAAAAATTAAAAAAGAAGTTAGTGAAATCTAAGTTCTGTTATTGTTAGTTAAAAATACAAATCACTATTTTTTGTAGATGAAAATCTTTCTTTTTTCTATGAAATAATGAAGAATGATTTTAAACGAAATTAAAATATGAATTACAATTGTTAAAAAATAATTTTTCTTTATGAATATTAATAAAGTTTGGAATTTAACGAAAATGTTCATTTTTCTAAAGGAAGAAAAACGTTTGTAACGTTTAAATCGTTTAAATGTTAATTAGGTAAACAAAAAATATTTTTCTAATTCATGAATGACTATTCATGATTTTTTTTTGTGTTTTTCATCTAAATATTAATGAAATAAAGATGAACTTTACCTGAAATAATTGCGATCTGGAAATTCCAGCTTTAATAATTAGAAGCCAAATAATTCCATCGGCGAGTCGCGCGTGCGGAGCGAAAATGCAATCTTGACCCAAGTGTGACTGATAGGAAGCGTGAACCATAACGAATTCTCCTTTAATAAAAAAGTTTATCGTATTAAAATCAAATAAGCCGCAACTCTACATTGAATCAAGCAATAAAAATTTTTTTATTTGTTATTTAAATAACAGGGATTACGGATTGTTTTTTTCTTTAAAATCGATGAATAGGTGAATTATTTTGCAAAAATAGGTGACAAAAAAATTATGTAAAATAAAGTAGTATGCAAAATAAGTAATTTGTATTTATTAACATTTTTATTAATAATTTTTCATTAATATTGAACATTTAACAGTTCTTTTAACTTTAAAAAATTTGAAACTTTGTAAATTGTTCATTTCAATGGAAATAAATATCTATTTGTTTGTAAATTGTTTATTTAAGCTTGAATTTTTTATTTTAATACAAAATAAATATTTATTTGTTTGCAAATTGTTTACTTTAGCATAACATATTTATTTTAATGCAAATATTTACTTTAGAGCTTTTTACTTTTATTTACTTTCAATTTTTATATTTCATTGCAAAATAAATATTTATTTATTATTATTTTGTAAATTAAAAAATTTTATATTTTCAAGATTATTTTCAAAATTGTTTTTAAAATTCCTTCGAAAAATTCAATTATTTTAAAAATTCATATAAAAGTCTTAGAAACCATTTAATTATTTTTATGAATTGTAAAATCCTCGGCAAGAATTCAATTATTTTCATAAATAAGAAAATTCTTCTAAGAATCTAAGGAATTCTATTATTTTCATAAATAATAACATATTTCCATTATTTAAAAAAAAACTCCATTATTTGCAAGAAAATTGAAATTAATTCTTCAAAACAATTTAATTGTTTTAAAGAATTTCAATAAAAATCTTGCAAGAATTAAATTATTTTCAATACAATTTTAATTACATTTTCTCGAAAGAATTCAATTATTTTCATAAATAATAAAATTCTTCGAAGGAATTCAATTATTTTCGAATTTTTTGATAAATACTTTGCAAGAATTCAATGATTTTCTGTACAATAATTTTAAAATTGAAAACATTTAAAAAGTTATGAAACAAAAAAGCAAACAGCAACTAATTTTAACGAATTAAAATTAAGATTTATTGAAATAGAAATTAATAAAAAATTACTATTTTTGATTGAAAATATTTTAAAAATTTATAAAATAGGTGCCAAAATTTAAAAAAAAAGGTGCAAAATAGTGAAAAGGTCACAGTCTGTAATCCCTGAAATAAGGGACAAATAATATTGAAAGCTACATAAAATATGAATTATGTGTTAAAATTACGAAATATTAAATTAAAAATTAAAAAATATTTTTAAGTTAGTATAAAGTTTAGATTGAAAAAACAAAAAAATGGATTTAATATAAAAATATCAAAAAGATGTTTAAACTAAAAATATAAAAAGATAAATTAAAAATATAAAAGACAAATTAAAAATATAAAAAAACATATAAATTAAAAATACAAAGAAGATATTTCAGTTAAACGTATATAAAGAAATAAGTTTTAGTAATGAAACAAAACACCAATAAAATAATAATTAAAATGAAAGTGAATAATTATGTATCAAGTTTTTCGAACCGTGAACTTGTGTCCAAGTATTAGGAACCGGAGCCGTAAGTGCTGGCAATGAGGAAGCAGGACCGTAGGTGACATTCTCATTAGTAGCATTCTCTCCTTCTGAAAACAAGTATGTAGACAAGTTTAAAGAAATATTTGCAATTTTTCTTTTTCCACACTATACTTATGTACACATAGCATTTGAAAATATCTCGAGAAATTCATACCTTTCTCAAGAATTTCAAGATCGTCCATACTGTGATAACTGGAAATAGATCCGGTACTAAAATACGTCGACTTGACAGAAGTTGCAGAATAAAAACTATCTAATCGGTGTCGAGTTTGCGTTTGAGTTTCAGTTTCTAGCTCAATGCTGTCAGACAGTATTTCATTTTCATTGCAATTATTTAAAACATCCGCCAATCCATTTGCCCCGCCGTCGAGAGCGTCATGATAACTTTTCGATTCTCTTATACCTCCAAATCTATAATCAATTGAGAAACGAATTTTTAACGATAATTTGTAATTTTCAGAATGTAAAATTAATTCTTTTCTTTTAAATTTCAAAAAATTTAAATTTAAAGAAACAAAATTATATTTAAAGATTCGGAGAGATTGTTAACTTCTTCCACCTTTAATATAATTAATACCGAATGATAAATTCCTTTCCTATAATTAAAATGATATTTATTTCTATTATTATTTCTATTTATTCTTTTCCATTGAGAAAAGGAGGAAATTAAACAAAAAGTTAATTTTTAGTTGGAAAATAAGATTGTAAACAAAAAATTACCGATCCAATTCATCGCCAAAGCTCTTTGAGTGAGGGATCTTGATATCGTTGGTTTGATCCTTGCAATAAATATTGCCATTGTTGATATTTTCGACAATAGGCACCTTATCGTACGGCAGATAGGACACTGTGCCTTTATAAGTGCGAAGACCAATTAATCGAGCGATGCTCCAAACGACAAATCTTTGGCCACCAATTGCCCGAAGATGTTCACTTTCGATGTCAATATCGGCCAAAAGTCCCCAACCAACTGACAAGAATGAATACAAAATGTGATTTTTCGTTTCAACACGAACCAAATCCATCGACGTCTGTTTCGATTTGACAACTGCCAAAGCGCTGATCAGCATTGGATTACTATTGTACGGTTCTCTGAAAAATTAAAAAAAATATCACTCGGTAAATAAATCTATTATTTGAAAAATTAATTAAATATTTAAAAATTTATCTAATTTCAGATAAATTTGAATTTAATTAAGATTTTTCATCGAAAATCTAAGTTTATTAAAATTTCGGATTAAATTCTTTCAAAATTGAAATTTCATAAAATCTATATTAATAATCGTTGTATTCCGGTAAACTGTTCACAGTTTAAAGTTAGTTACTGTTTGCTTTTTAGTTTCCCAACTTTTTAAATAATTTTTCTTTTTAAATGTTTCAAATTTTAAAATTAATGTAAGTGAAAATCTTTTAATTCTTGTAAAAACTTTATAAAAAAATTTGAAAATAATTGAATTTTATGAAGAATTCAATTATTTTCAATAATTATAATAAAATTCTCTAGTCAATTTATAAATAATAAAAATCTTTGTAAAAAATTATATTATTTTTATATATTAAATAAAAAAATTCTTATCAGGATTTCAATTATTTTCAATACAATTTTAATAAAACTCTTATCAGGATTTCAATTATTTTCAATACAATTTTAATTAATTTTTTCGAAAATTTCAATTATTTTTAATAATCTTGTAAAAATTCTTCGAGAAAATCCAATTATTTAAAAAAAATAATTGAATTTTTCACACAAATTCAATTACTTAAAAAACTTTTTTAATAAAATCCAATTCAAGAATTCAATTATTTTTAAAAATAATAATTGAATTTTTCACACAAATTCAATTACTTAAAAAACTTTTTTAATAAAATCCAATTCAAGAATTCAATTATTTTTAAAAATAATGAAATTTTCGCTGGAATTCAATTATTTTAAATACAATTTTAATTGCATTCCAGGGAAAATTAAATTATTTAAAAATTTAAAAAAATTTTTTTTAAATACTTCGAAAGAATTCAATAATATCAATAAATAGTAAATTTTTCACAGGAATTCAATTATTTTAAATACAATTTTAATAAAATTCTTCTCAAAAATTTACTTATTTTTTAAAATTTTGCAAAAATTCAGTTATTTGTAGAAATAATAAATCTTTTCGCAGGGATTCAATTATTTAAAAAAGTGTTAATAAAATTCTATTCAAGAATTCAATTATTTTCAGAAATAACAACATTTTCGATGTACTTAAAATTATTGAATTCTTGCAAAGTATTTATCAAAAAATTTGAAAATAATTGAATTCATTTCAAGAATTTTATCAAAAATTTTTTTAATAATTGAATTTTTTCGAGAAAATGTAATTAAAATTGTGTTGAAAATAATTTAATTCTTGGCAAGATTTTTATTAAAATTCTTTAAAATAATTAAATTGTTTTGAATAATTTATTTCAATTTTTTTTGGAAATAAAGGAATTTTTTAAAAATAATTTTTACTGAAAATTTTGAAAATAATTGAATTTTTATTAAAACTCTTGAAAATAATGTAATTTAAATAATATTTTAATAAATAATTGTATTCTTTCGAAGAATTTTATTAAAATTGTATTGAAAATAATTGAATTCCTCCAAACCATTTTATTATTTATGAAAATAATTGCATTTTTTTGAAGGAATTTTAATAAATATTTTGAAAATAATGATTTTTGAAAAGGAATTTCATCAAAATTGTTGAAAATAATTGTATTTATATTAAAATTCTTGAAAATTATCGAATGTAATTAATATTTTTAAAAATAATTGTATTTTTTAAATAAATTGTATTAAAATTGTAATGAAAATAATTGAATTAAAGGAAATAAAAAAAGCGAATTTTTTCTTTTTTTTGATAACGAGGCAAATTAGTTTTAGGAGAAAAAAAACTCACTGTCTAGAGTAGGCGATAGACTTGGCCAAACCATTTCCAGAACCGCATGGAATAATGCCAAGCGGTAATTCCTTTAAAGCTTTCTCCCAATCTGGCCTTTGTAATAAGCCATTAATTACTTCGAATATTATACCATCTCCGCCTACCATCAACAGGCAACTCCATTGATAAATGTCCTTGCTTCTAACAAAATCTCTCGCATAATTCGAATATTTTGTAATGTGCACCTCGTACGGTTTTTCTGCTTCCAAAAGAATTGGATGAATTCTCCTTTGGAACATTTCTCTCCCTCTTCCGGGTCCTGATTTTGGATTAAGTAGAACCAGCATTTTTCTCTGCTCACATGGACACGCTGCAAAAAAAAATTTCAATTAATATTTATTTATATAATTAATTAATAATTTGTTAAATCTTTTTTTACATACAATTTTTTAAAAATTGTATTAAAAATTTTAATTAAAAATAAATTTGCAAACTTTTTTGATTTTCTTCCAAAAAAATGAATATTTTCACATTAAGTACCTAATTTTCCGTTAAACAATTTTATTAAATTAAAAACAATAAAAACATATTCTAAAAATGAATTCAGACCTAATTTTTCAATTTTCATTGAAAATAATTGTAGTCAATTTATTTGTGGTTCAATAAAAATCAGAATTTATAATGAGACCAATTTCGAATGAGGAAAAATTTGCTGTTAGTCATTTTGTGTTATTCCCCTATGTACAAGAAAACATTTTTCTCATTGAATCATCTTAGATAGAAAAAAATACGGAAATGTTTTTTATTTAAAAAAAAACTCAGCTATAAAAATTTGTTTATTTTTTATCGAAATATTTTAATAAAATATATTTTACTAAAAAATTAATTTTCTATTTTCATTTTCTTTCACTTTTCATTCCCGACTCTCTTAAAAATATTGAAATAAAGTAGAAAAAAAAGGTAAATAAATTTTCCGAGAAAATTTAATATGGAATATTCCAACAAGCAGATTAAATATTCAATTAGCAATTCGCAACAGTTTTTGGCTCTGACGCTGCGCTGACTGGATCGTAGCCAAAAAAAATTTACCAATGCTTTTTTCATTATTTGATATTTAAAATCCTGAGTTGTCAATCTTCGATTAAATTCAATCATAAATTATCAGAAAATTGTAAATTATTTAATTTACTCTATAATTACATTTTATATTTTCGTAATAAAAATTTTTTTCCTTTTTTTTAATTTACTTTGTAATTTCTTTTTTGGCGATTCTTCAATTTTCTTTTAAAAGAAAGAAAAAAAATTGCGTTTGCATATCTTAAATTTAGTAAAGTTACTTCAAACGTACAAAATAGTTTCTCTATTAAAAAAAGATAAGATAAATAATTTTCTACAATAACAAAAAAAGCGAATAAATTTAAAACTGTTGGTAAAAATGAAAACATTGGAGAAACATTTTTATTTTTATCTTAAACAATTCCCTTTTTTTTAAAATAAAATTTTGAAAATATTTTCGTTGGTTTTAAAATTTATCTGTGAGGAAATATTTTTTGAAAATGAAAAACAAGAGAAAAATTTAAGTAGGATAACAAAATAAGGAAAAATTATTATAGTTTTTCTCAGTATGAAGGGTAATGGTTTGTATACGTATTTTATACAAACATGTGTGTATGAATCATTCGTCAGATTAAAAGTCAAGTGGAATTGCATTTGTCATTTAAATTATTTTTAAAAGAATGCTGATTAAATTCCAAAAAAAGAACAATTTCTAAAATTTGTTCGTTTAAATTATTTTGAATTTCAAGAAAATAAATATAAAACCAAAGTTAAAAAAACGCGTATTTTTAATTTTTGATGTTAATTAAATGAAACTAATTAAATTATTCAATTTATATTATTTTTCTAATTTAAATTTTTCAATTTATATTATTTTCAATTTATATTTCAAAAATTTATTTCGAAAACTATACTTTATAAATTTTTTAAAAATTAAAAAATTATATAAAGACTATTTTCAAAAATTATTTACCTAAAACAGTATTTTCATTTTTTTATTTTTCGTATTCGTCATAATGCAAATAATTTTCTCTTAACAATAAAAATAAAAAATAAAAAAAATGGCATCTAATTGCCAATTATAGTTGTTTTTGTGATAAATTTCTACCGACAAAAAATTTGTATACACTTTATAAACAAAAAGTGAATTTCATGAACATTTGAATAAATATGAAAAAACTTATTTTCATTGACTACATTACTCAACTGATTATAATAATTCTGAATATTTTATACCCGAACAATTACTTAAAATGTAAACAAACCAATTTTCAATTTAAATATAAGAGATAATTATGAAAAGTAATAAAAATCAACAAATTTATTTAAATTTTTTTTCCCAACATTTCTTTATTTCCTATAGTGTAAAAAATATTTATTAATAGTCAATTTCTTTCGGTTTAGAATGATTTCATTTTGTTGTCAAAAAATATATTCGAAATAAGTAAATTAATTACTTTACGGAAAAATATAAATAAAATAAAAAAAAGAAAAAAAAAGAAAAAAAATATTAATAAAAAATAATAAATAACAAATAAATCAATAAAAAATTAATAATAATAACAAATATAATAAATAAATAAATATTAAATAAATAAATAACAAATAAATCAATAAAAAATTAAATAATAATAAAAAAAAATAAAAATAAACTTTTTTTCTAATATAGTCGAAATATTCTAAAAAAAATTTGTTCTGATTGCAAATTTTTTTCGCAACTTTATATATATTCTACATGCACCTCAGATTGAGACTAACGAAGCCCTCAAGAGGCAGGTGAATTCTAATTTAAATTTCTAGACTGCAAAAAGGGTTCTAAGATTGCAGCTGCTTTTTCTTTAGCTAAAAAAAAATTACAAGCTTCTTATTTTTCATCGACATTCGCAACAAAAAGTTTTCCATTCCAACTTTTTTTAAAAGCGAAAGGAGAATTTAAAAAAAATTTATTTTCAACTATAAAATTCCCTGATTGTAATTCTAATTCATAGAAAGAGTGAAAATGACTTGTTAATAAAAAAGAAAACGAAAAGACGAATAAATTTTCTTTTTCTATTCTATTCTTCAAACGAATAATTTTTTTCAATTTTCCTTTTTTTGAACATTTTAACAGTTTGTTTTAATTTTTCCTTTTTTTAAACATTTTTAATAGTTTTTTCTTAATTTTTCCTTTTTCTGAAAATTTTCAACAGTTTTTTTTTTTAATTCTTCCTTTTTTTGGAAATTTTTTAACAATTTTTTTTTTTTGCATTGAAAGTAAGTTGTGTAATATAGGCAAACGAAAAAAATCTATTATAAATATTCAAGAGCATTTTAGTCAAGCCTTTCTGTGGCCAATGGTGTTAAAAACTAGGGCACTTATTATGGGTGAATGTACCTATTCTGTCTGTGTTTTATTAGTCTCTTTTCATACATCCACAGCTTGTTTGCCAGGTGTATATTATTGTAAACAAAAATTCAACAATTAAAATAAAAAAAATTTTTTTTTTCCTCTCATCTCAAATAATAGAAATTTTTCTTATTCAAAATAAAATAGAAAAATAAAAAATGACTTTTAAAAAATAGTAGATAATAAAACAAAATAAGGGATTTAGAAGATAATAGTAATCAAAAAAATAATAGAAAATAGATTATAAAAAACTAAAGTAAAAAATAAAAGCGCAAATTTAAATTCAAAATTTTTATTTTAAATAAAAAATAAACAAAATATTACTAAAAAGTTATGTCACAATTTCAATTTATTAATCACATGAGTAAAAAAAGTATTTTCTCGAAAAATATATTTTTTATTGACTTAATCAGAAATGGTAATAATTGATTGATCTTTCTCTCTTGACTGCCTTGATTTTATAATAATAATAAAAAAAAATGTACTCGTTTTTCTAATCATTGACTCCTGAATCTTTAACGTTTTTTACTTTTTGCAATAAATATCCATTTTTTCCATAGCAGTAAATGCCAATCACTATGAACTTTAGAGTCTAAAAAATTTTAATTACAAAATATTGAAAAACATTTTTTGCTATACAAATTAACAGAGTTTCACTATATTAAGTTAAAAACCATTCTTTGTTAATCAGCATTAATTTTATTATTATTTGTATTCTTTGTTCATAAAATAAATAAAAATAATTTTTTTGCTAATAAGTAAACAAAAAAGAAAATATTATAAATTATTACATATTTTAATGCGATATTTATTTTTATTTGTTATTTTTTATTATTATTTTTATTAAATCATATTTTCTATTATATTTAATTACCTACATTGTAATAAAAAAATCAGAAACAAAAAATATTATTTTTTTTGCATAAAAAAGTATTTTTTTTCTTCCAATCGTTGATTATAAATTCATAAACGTTGCGAAAGTCGCCCACGTAAATAAAAATAAAAAATAATATCTAACAAATAAAATAATTAAAAAATACAAAAATAAAATAAAAACAGCTAAAAATAGGAAAAAACAATTTTGCAACTGCAGAAAAATTGAATGAAAATTTCACATAAGATTTATCAGACCGTCAATCAAGAGACAGGTTTTAATGAATCAATTGTGTAAAAGTCAATATGCATAATGATCTACATATAGTATCGGGTGGGAACGAATTAACTATAAATTGAAAGGTCGGACGAAATATTTTACTTGACAATAAAAGTCAATATTCTCTTTACGAATTACCAAGGCTATTTCAATTAATAGAATCTTTGTAATTCCTATTTTTTAAAATTAATTAATGAGAAAATAAAAACATCAATACACTTTTCTTCAAAGGCAAAAAAATACTATTCTCTCAAAGTTCAATATTTAAAATAAAAAAATAAAATAGAATATTATTATTCTATTTTCAATTTCCTACATCATAAGAAATTCAAATTAAAAAAAAGGACAACAAAACTCATTTGTAAAAAATTCATAAATATTTATATATATATATTTCAAAAATGAAAGAATAAAATAATTAATAAATCCATTGAAAATAATTTCCGCATCTGAATTGAAAAAAATTTTTTTTCCGAACTTTAGATAAATGAAAAGAGAAAGGAAATGTGTAAAAAATTTTTAGGAAAATTTGAACTATTATGACGTCACAGTTTTAGAACAAATGCTTTGAATAGTCATACTGCTGTTTTTATTTAATATTTATAAAATTCAAATCGAATTTAACTATTTGATGCGTCTATTTATTCTGTATGTAATTAAGTGTGACGTGCGCTATATACGTATATATATATATATATTATAATTAAAAACTGTTTTTCTTAAATTAATTATGCTAATATTCAATACGCGATAATGATGCAATGATAAAAAATTT